TTAACCAGAAGCCGTTTATGACGCAAAAAAAGAAGAAAAAAAAGACAGTTGTTAAGGCATCTATGGTCTTGTCATCTTAATTGAGAAGAAGTATAAAGATTAAATATGGAAAAACTGACTTGTTTGGTTTTAACATAGTTTACGTAACAAAATTTTTTTAACTTGAAAGAGTAAAAGTAACAAAAAAGTTTTACGGAAATGGTTATCAGATGAGAAAGGAAATGGATGTAAAGACATTATGAGATAACATCGCATTTTAGCTTAGAATTTTGTTAATATATTTTAACAAACTGTTTGATTCAGTACCTTTTCGCTTCCCACTGTATGTGAATAAGGACAAATAAGAGTTATTCTTCCTTCTAAAACCACTTTATACAAACTTTTTATTTCAGCCTGTCTCAGCAACTGTTAATTTTGAAATTATCAAAGTGAGCAGGTCTACCAGAATTATGCCGATTTTTCACCACTACTCCTCAACTGGCAAATTTTGTTTAGTAAAACTGTAATTTATAATGAAGAATCACTAAATAAATGATTATTTTTTTGGCTAGCTACAGCTGTATTAGCTCATTTCTTCTGAAAATACGACAACACTGCATACAACCTTTTTTTCTGCTCCAAATAGGAAGACAAGAAAAATTTAAGAGTATGATATGTTAAGTTCAAAAACAATAGTCAAAAGCACTTCTTCTTAGTTTTTTATGACACCGTATTTAAAGCAACATCTCGATACAAAAGTTTATAAGGTAGAATTTAACGTTAAGCGATTATTTATAAACCAACTTGATACTGTAAATGGTAAGCAATCTCATAAATTCATTCTTAAGTTAGGCTATTATATTGAGGAACTTTTAGTATTAAAAATTTTAAACTGATAATTGTAGAAAATGTTACTTTTTTCATTTGGAACAAATAGGAATCTTCACATCTTCGAAGTATTTCGAGAACCTTTGTCAGTCTGTAGAGGCCTTCGTTTATAGAAGACTGGTTGAAGGTGTACGCATCCTGATAAAAATTTTATAGTATAAGGTTCAGAAATCAATCATAAAGTTTTTCAGAATTCTGCTACTTTTTTGATGTCAAGTTATTCAAAACAACTAACTGTAAGAAGTCAAAGCCTATGCTCAATACTGAAGTTTTGCGATTTTGCTTACATGAATAAGAAATGTTTAAATACGGCAATGCCATAACTTACAATATCACTTAAATAAAACAAAAAATGTGCTGTTTTTTGAACCTAAATTTTTCTTTCTTTTTTCCATCTGAGTAAGAGAAGACTAAGCCTGTAGTTCAAGTGCAAAGTTGAGAAAATGCATATAAAAAGAAGGAGGAAGTCAAATCTCTAACAAATGCGGCACTTATAACATTAATGATACTAGAGAAACTTCTTCAAAAATAATTTCTTATGAAAACTGAACTGTAAATGCTAAAAAAACTTACTAATTTCTGATGCATTTTTAAATTATTTTTTTTGGTAGAAGTCAAATGTAAGAAATAAATAGTCAAAGTTTTGTAAACACCTAAATTTCAAATTTAAAAGTTGAAATTTTTGAAAAAAAAATCAAAGCTTTAAAAAAGTTTTTGTATCAAAGAATACTCTGCTTAAAAAGTAACATTTTCTCATATACTAAGGCTTTTGGAAAAAATCACTTAACAGCAATTTTTGCACTTTCAATGCAAATGTTCTCCTTCTTCAAGATTAACAATTGCTCCTATTTTTTTAGGTGAAAAATAATGGAAAAAAACCAGACGTAGTGCATGTCGTTATTTTAAAAATAATAATCTATAGTAAATTTTTTTTAGTTATCAAAGTGTTTTACTTGTAATTGAAATTTTTTCTGGGAGAACAATTATTCTAAAATTTATTAATTTTTTATTGAGTATTTACAAGCGTTGTAGATGCAAACTTTATTGTTTTTACAGCATTATGCTAACTTAAAAAAACTTGCTCAATCTTTTTGAAAGTAAATGACAAAAAAAAAATAGAAGCTAGTTTTTCCAAGTACATGATTTTTTTATCGAATTATATGATACTGTTAGAGGTTTCCAGTGAGTTAAAAAAATTTTGAATTGCTAAAAAAAACCTCGATGTATAGTTGTAAACGTTTGTACAGCATATCATAGTACTCATATTCTTTGCCCCTTTCTGAACTGTTAGGACTATATCTGGTGACCAGCCTGAATTTTTCCAAGGCTCGTTCCATTGCAATTTCATGCAGTTTTCTAAACATCTTTCCAAGTTCTTGTTCGTCTCCTGTATTTACGTGCTAAAAAAAAAAATAATTATCTCAAATAACAGGACAAATATGAGTGAATACAAATATGTGACAACAAAAACAAATTATAAAAAAGAAGAGCAAAAGAACATCAACAGCATCATTACCAATCTGTGAAGTTCATCTAAACAGGGATCTTTTTTCAAGCCGCGTAATTCCAACTCCTAAACGATAACAGAGTAATAGATTTTTTGCGTTGTTCAAACGCTGCCTAAATTACTTTTCACGGTCAAAACACTTACTGTAAAGCTAAAAAAAAAATCTTGCAAATTTTTGGATAAAAGTACACTACATATTAAAAACGGTTAATTTTTATAAATACCTTAGAAATTTCCTCAGCATACAAATCTTTACAGTTGCGAACCAGATTCTCGACTTTAACGTTTCCAATAGTCTTCAAAAATTATTGCTTTAGTTGTGAAACTTTAGTCTTGAAAATGTCCACAGAAGTGCTTAAGTGTCATCAACAAAAATTATTTTAGCTAACCTTAAACAGAGCTTCTGGAGGTGGAATGTCGTTTTCGTTGAATAATAGCACATAATTCTAAATTATATGTAATAGTTTAACGCAAATATTGAATATTTTCAGCTTAAGACTCTCTTATGCAATTTCCAAAAAAATTATACATTTTATAGACTTACACGAAAGAGTGTCACCATGTCCTCGCTGGTTATTTCTTCTCTATCGAGTTTTTTTGCAGTTACCCATCCTTTTGAGAATAGCTGTTCCACAAGTGACTGCACTTGTGGCAGAAAATCTTTCTCAGGTTCTAAACAACAGACATCAGAGAGAAAAAGTGGCTCAAGAAAGTTTTTATAGTAAAAAACTGTGAATTTTGCCGTTTTCAGAAGCAACTTGAAAGAGTTTTTTGTGGTAAAAAAGAAAATTAACACTGAACCAATATATACGGGGTTAACTGCTGCGGCAAGCCTGAGGCCAGGATGAGGCATTAGAAAACAAGAAATTTTTTTGAAACAACTTTCCACTTTTTTGCACATACCACGAATTTCGTTTGAGGTCTTCTGCATAACAAAAAATAAATAAGTTAATGAAGACTTTCTAATAAAAGCAAATTTTTATCGTCTTTGGTCGTCTCACTGTCGTTAGTATATTGAAAAAAGGTACTAAAACTCTACGACATTTTCTATATAACAGATTTTTTTTCTTAAGCTCTTCTTTTTTCGCGTTGTTGAATGGAGCTTGACAAATAAATCTTCCTCAACCCCTTCAACAAAAATTTAGACGACTTTTAGCTTTAAACAATTTTTTAACTTAACCTCATTAAACTAGTTATTTAGGCAGCTAATAATTGTTAGAAAGCAAAAACTATGAGAATTATTTGGCTAGAAAGTGTACAGAGATTCGAAACGTTAAAGGCTAAGAATAATAATTGTAATTGCGACAGTTTTTGCAGAAAATCAATATAAAAATATAAATGTAAAAGAAATTTACAAACAACTTGTTTTTAACTACTTCTTTACCGGTTTTTTACAAGAACTTACGAGCTCTACTCAATGTTCTATCTTTCTTATCTTACTTTTTATTCATCTTTTTTCCAAGTAAATTTAGTTAGCTTTATTTGACCATACAACTGAAATGCAAATTATTACTTCAGAGTTCATCAAATTTTTGTAGTATACATTGCCTCCATCAAATCCGTAGCAGTTTTCTCCCACAAAAAGCCAATCTCGAATTAAATATATAAGCTTCTGAAAACAATTATTATTTCGAAAATAAGCGTTTACTTGTCATTAATTTGCAATGTCAAATTCTTTTCTTAAAATTTTCTTACGACTAGATTCATATTTTGACAAACCTGATATGGTTTTGATTCTTTGCTTTTTTCGGCATACAACCCATACTGCGAGAAAACTTCCACTTGCTTGAGAACATCCAGTTGCAGTTGGTCTTTAATGTTGAACAACTAAATGTTACATTATTGTGCCTGTATCACTTTTGAAAAAAGTTTTCTCAAAAAAGCCTAAAAATTTTCAAATTTGGAACACTCGAAACATTTCCAAAGGTTAATCAAGTAATTATTTGCACTGTAACATGCTAAACCTAAAACATTTTAGCGAGTCTCTAGTAATTTTTTTACATAACAAGTTTATTTATGTGATTTCTCATAAATAGAACCTCGCTACTAAAAATCATAAAGTTTCTTTATAATAAAAGCTACCTGAACAGAAGACAACAAATTTGATAAAGCGAAAATGATTGCACAATCTTCCGATGTTGACCGAGCATCGAAAAATCCCTCAGTATCCATAAGAAATAGTGCTAAAGTCTCGTCATGTTTATTTTTGAGAAAAAATGGTTTTGACCACATCCAAATGCCAGACGTTTCTCTCTCAGTTCCTAAAAATATTTTTCCGTTTCCATTGTGAAAATTTTGAACATTTCAAACCGTTAAAGAGAGTTTCAAAGTGGTATCACTACAAAACAATGATAAACCTTGAAACATTTATGACCTCCTCTCCAACTAAACCCCAAAGACGGATCAGTTTGTTTCAGCCACTTGTCGTTCTGGCGATCTTCCTCACTAGCATTCAAATATTGTAAGAAAAAGTTCAACAGATAGCTTTTCCCGGTGCGTGAACGACCCGCAATACTTAGTACCATTATCTTTAGTCATAATTATGTTAAAAAAAATAGTTTTTGAAAATCTTACTAAAATAAGCAATTTAACCTTTTTATATTTGTAGTAATTTAAAATAGTTAACTTATCACTAATTTTTCTATTGAACTGAATGAGCTTATAAGCAAGAAAACTTGATATTCTGTAAAAAATAAAATAAAGAAGGAAAAGTGCCCATAAAAGCGTAGATAAGATTTTAAAGAGATTTCAACCTTTTTATCTTTTACTTCTTCAGAAGTAAAAAGTTTTCTTATTCTTTTATCATTCAGGTCCCAGTTTCCATTATCGAGCTTCTTCAAGATGCACAAAGCGTGGCCGTCTTTGTGTCCAGACTTGCCCATTGCCTTTTTCCAATCTTCTGGAAAGCAACTTCAGGAGACAGCCTCAAAGTTTCTTCACTGCAAATCTGTGTGTAACAACTTTATACGACGCTAATAAAAAATGTTACATTAGCAGACGATCTATCGCGAAATGTGTACACATGAGAAGATATAAAAAGAATAATTCTTACAAAAATTTCAGTGCTTGATTTATAACATTTAAATTTTAATAACGTTAAACTAAAAAAACCTAAACTTTTTAAAACCGAATTTTTTTAATATTAATAATATTTCCTTAGACTTTTTTTTCAAATAAATGCTTTTTGAAACTAAAAGCGTAAACTCACTTTATACAGCAGGTAGTTTGAAATAAACAAAAAAAAAGAAAAGAAAGAGATAAAAGAAAGGAACAATAACTGTAATACAATTTTTTAGTACAGAAAAATTAGACACTTCAGAAAAAAAAATTCAGAAATGACAGTAGAAGTAGAAAAATTATGACAAATATTTAGATGACAAATTAGGAACTCTTAGAAGCAGTGCCAGTACTTTTAAAACTGATAACTGTTACGGCTTACTGCTTATGTTTATCTTTATAAACACCGGCGTTATAAAAAGCCTATAAAAATAGCTGTTTTTGTCTGAGATAAAAAACTAGCTTTTGCAGTAACACCCTACGCGTTTCAATTTTTACACGAGTCGTTTCTGCTTGTTGTAAAGATTAGTCAGCCAAGATCAAAGAATCAAATTTTGGATTCATATCAGCCTACCACAATTTACGTAATACGTAAGAAAGAATTTGTGGTTTTTAAAATAACGGCGAAAATTTTATCCAAAAAGTCAGTAATTTTCTTTCGCTACTATGTTTCTGCATATTTGTAGTGCTTCATATTAGCCTCAACCATTTACTGTTTAGGGGTGATGACTGGCCTGAACAAATGTGAACCGTTTGATAATACAAGTAAAAGCTGTTCGTCTCCTCTTTACTCTCCTTCTTTCCCTATTCATCTTTGACTAGCAGCTCAATTCTACTCTTACTGGACGCTCAGGAATAGTCCAAAGGTAAAGATTTTAGTGTTTCTACCGTTCAACATGTTCTAAATAAATATATATACGTCAGTGACCTATACAAACCAATTGCATTATATATATAGCAGTTGGTTTGCTAAATGTATGGGTTACTGATGAGCGGTTTAATTGGAAAGTTTTTTGACCTTCTGCGTAAAATTATTTTCTTAGAGTTACTCGAAAAATAGGCCACATTTAGTTCACACAAATGTGACAAAGTCAAAACAGTAACAGACATCGTATGAGTCAGTTGGAACTTCATATTAAACGCTATATGGAGCACTGCTTTTTTTTTCTCATAATTGTCATTTAAGAAATCAGTGTTGACAAGTTTGTTACAATATTTTTTTTTCAGAATTTTATAATTACGATATGCTGCAGTATAAGATTTCTACTGAGTTGCAAAAAGACAATCATGTTTTTGCTTTTCTTCTGCTTTTCAATTCTTTGCTTTGTAAAACAAAGATAAAGTGGCGACAGAAAAGAAAATTTCAAGCTGGTGAAACTTGCTATTAAATTTTGGAAATAAACTTTGGAAAGGTAGGCAATAAACAATATTTAGATACAATTAAAAATAGAAAAACATAAAAAGTTGTAATCAGAACAGCCGAACTTTTAGAAAAAGATCAGTAACTTTTGTAACAATAATCCAAAAGCAAAAAACTTTTAAACGACTGATAACAATGAAAAAATGTGGTGCAAGTCATATGCCCGGTGAAAAAAAAAAGTGAACTAATTATTGCACAAAATTATAGCTAAACAAAACATAAATTAAAAGATTCTAACTTTATTTTGTTGTAGTAATTAACTTACAAACGACTGCGAAAGCTGAAAAAAAGGAGCTGTTGAGAGCAATTGAGATTTAAAAACTTGTTTAGTGTGCTACATTCTGGTAAACATTCTTGACACTATCTCAACACTTACAAAGCTCAATATCTAAAATTATTTTCAACAAATCTTTCCAGAAAGGCTGTGCTTACACCGCTAAAATAAATAATCAAAAAGATTTTTCTCGAGAAATAATAACTTTATTTTATAGTGTTTCTTGACCGACTGATTCAAAATCGAGACAAAATACGTTGCTCAAAACAAGAAAAAGTGTATTTTTAAGTGGCAGATGATTATAAATTTAAGAAACTATAGAAAATTTTGCTATCAACAAATTGGCGAATTAGAATACATATGCTAAAATGTGAGTGGAAAGCACGAAATATTTTACCTGGGTAAAAACTTCAAGTTTCATTAGTTTGGCCACTTTCGACTTTCTAATGCCAACAACTACCTGCTCAGTGTCTGGAAGAAAGCCATAGAATTCGAAGAGAACGAAACTAACAGTGAAGGTGAGAAGAGAACCATATGGTTGACAAAAGTTGTTCAGGAAACAAATGATAAAAAAGTCTTTCAAATAAACCTTCTCAACCTATACAGCACTGAAACTTTTCAGTGGCTAAATACAAGAATAAATGCTTTTCATTTTGCAGCGTTTTGAGCAAGAGATATCTATTCTAATAAAAAAAATAGCCAGAAATTATTTCATCGACCAGTGTAAAACCAATACTGAAGAAAAATTAAAGAAAGTTACAGATATGATAGGAGCAAATCCTCGTACGATTCTGTTTCACTACAAGCAGTTCTGGAAGAATGTAACTATTTAAACCATCTTTTCCGTACTTTTAACAGCAATAGTGCACAGCAGATATTTATTGCTGATGAATTATAAACTACAAAGATTTTTTAAGTAAGAGCGTTAAGAAGTAAGAAAATTTTTTACGTTGAAAAGACCGTTTTAATTAAGTGAGTAACTGTTCAAGTCTGGTGATAACAAAAAATATTTAAAAGAACTTTTTATCTAACTGTAGATTCAATGTTAAAAAATCATTTTTTTTTTTGTTTTTGCATTAGCCAAATTCTTTTTTTCAAACAAAAATAAAAATGAGTAAGTGGAAGGGAGTATAATTGCACAGTGAAGAATGCAGTGGTGATGCAGACAAAAAATCCTCAGGAAACAGCTGCAAATCAAAAAACTGGTTTGCAGTTTGAAGAACAGCGACAACAGTTGATGAGTAAGTCGTTTAAAACACAACCTGCAATTGTGAACAATGTTCTACTTAATTCTTGTTTTACCACTCAATTTTTCATCAGTTTTATTTTTCTAGAAGGCAGTGCTCTATAAACCTTTGATAATAGAATAGTGGTCATTCTGCTTTGTTGAAAAAAACCCCGGAAGTCAGAGTCTCAGATGATTCACTTTAAATCTAAAAACAAAAAATAATTAACAATTTCAAGTCACTGCATACTAAAAAACGTTTTTTTTCTATCGAACCATTGGTTTTTTAAAAATCTATACTTGCTAACTTTTTAACATACATCAACTGACAAGATATTTGATATTTAATATTTGAGTAAAAAAAAACCTAGTTTTGTGCGTTCCCGTTTTTGTATCAAAAAAGTGCTCTCACTTTTAAACGCTCAACGTTGATACAAGATTTTTAGCTATAACAGCCTTCAATATAAACATGAATGTTACTGAATAAATTTCTATTCGCGCTAAACGACGCCAGTTGGATTTTACTGAGTAATTGTGCAACAAACTTCTTTGCAGTTTATCCTTCTTTCCGATTACTCCTCCTCGCTGTTACTCATATTCATCCAATTTTCTGGTGATACTCTTCATCTACGCTCAAGCAAAACGCTCTACAGCTTTCAAAACAATATTTCTTTTTTGAATATGCGTTTCTTTTTAAACCACAGTTTTTTTCGCAATAAATAAATGGCTACCTATCATTAGACGATAATTTTTAGAACTTAGTGCTTTCCTTTGAGTCTAATTTCAGATAGACGACGGAACATCAGAGGTTTTCTTCACTTTATCCTGCTGCGTCACCGTTTGTTCCTCTGCTCTCGTCTCCTCGCCAAATAAGCTACCAGTCAGTCATCGCGTTCTAACTATTTATCCATAATAAAGAAATTTTTGGATGGAGGGATCTGGTAGAAGACTCTGTGTGAGAATGTATGACAGCGGTGCACTGCCGGAACGCAGAATTCAGATCCGAAACACCGCTTCTAGCAGTGTTTTTTTTTTTT